GGAGACGGCGGATTTCTAAAAGCCAAGAGTCGACCATGGAGGGGACGGAGGTGAGGAGGGTGTGGATGGTGGCGGAGTGAAAGTTTACGTCGTAGAGGCTGTGGTCATCGTTGTCGGAGTTATAGTTTCGCATGCTGATGGGAACGTCGTTCTAGTCTACGAAGTTATGTGAATTCTAGATTGAGAAGAGTGGATATAGAGTGGTTTTTTATTTTGGAATTGAAAGTGAAAGTAGAGTGAAAACACAGAATATATATAAGATGGAAAAAATGTTTCTGCCCTCTGGAAAAAAAAATTTATCTCACGTGTCTCCCTATAAAAGTGAGTGAATTTTATTATAAAAAAAATAAAAAAATTAATAGAATTCACTCATTTTTGTGTAAGTGTAGTATAAATTTTTTCTGCAACAAAAATAAAAATATTAAATCCATATAAGTTACACTTTTAATCTTGATCGTTTATCTTATTTATATTTGACAGTTCTAATTTATTAGATATGAGTCATTAAATGCGAATAAATCAATGATTCATATGTGATGAAAGACTTCTTATTCTTGTACTGGTATAAGAATATCATGTCCCATAATTTCTATATGTAAATTGATGTTATTTCTATTATTTGGGGGACTAAATTGATGTCAGATTTTTATAATTGAGGAGATTTTATGTTTTTTTTTTTTGTCATTGAGGAATTTAAACGATGTTAGGTTATTTAGAGAACAAAATATATAGATCATTTTCTCCATTATTTAGGAACTAAATTCATGTCACGTATATTTCAAAGACTATTTTCCCTAACATTTTTTTGTTTGTCGTTTCTTCTTCTAATTTAAGGTTGAATACTCGAACGCCCCAAAATGTCTCTTCCTCTTCTGCACGTTAAACCACAAATATTTCCCTGTTAATTATATTCTGTGCGCTAACCTTTTAAGTACCTTATTTTTATTGGTAGACAAACTAAGCTTCATTTGCGTTTGCATGCGTGAACTTAAAGCTAAATGTTTACTTCTTAAATAATTACGGATTTAATTCAACACCATTTCATGCATCTTGGAAATCATAATTGCCTTTATTTTCATTGCAAAGATACGTTAAAATATATATATATATTTATATTTATATATATATATATATATATATATATATATATATATATATATATATATATATATAAAAGGAATAATAGATATTGGAATTCATTTCTTTTAAATCCGAGAACATAAAGATGGCTGGCTTTAAAACTGCACTAAATCCAAAAGTAATATTTAATGAGGGAAGATATTTTGACTACCAAAAGTTTTCACTACCACCTTACTACCTATCTAATCACCATTGGATTAACATTTTCTCTCTCTTCAAATTTTTTTTAACATTCTCTCTCTTTGATCCAATGGTGATTTGATAGGTAGTAAGGTGGTAGTGGACACTTTTGGTAGTCAAAATATTCCCCCTCATATTTAATATACTAATTAAATCTAACATTGTTTTTATACAAGAAAAAATGTAACATTGAATCTACTTAAACACCTCACCGCGCTGGATCAAATCTAGTTGCTTAATTAAATCTAACATTGAATCTAATAAATGAAACGTCAATTATAAGTTAACATCGACTTAATGCTGACCGCTTCAGCCAAGGAATGATCCTCTCATCCTCACGGCACGTGAAAGATGATACGATAAAGTATCGTGAAATTTTAAGCGGTGAAAATGATTTCCCCCGAGCAATAGGAGAGTTCATCAATCGATCCAAACTGTGGTGACCGAACCGAAAAATCGATAACCGAATAAATCAAAAATCGAAAAATTGAAAACCGATTAAAAATCGCAAATTTTAATTGGATTGGATCCGTATTTAGATGGGTTGATGAAAACATAGTGTTAAGGAAAAAATATTTATTTTTTTAAATTATATAACTTGTGTCATTTCATTCTCACAAAGGAGTGAGATTCACATCTTTATGTTTTTTGTTCACTCTCTCCCTCATGATCTATCTCTTTCTCTCACTTAAAATGACATAATTTTACATTCTTTAAAATAACACACACCATCCTTTAAAGTGACACACACTTTTCTCTTTTGTAAAGTGAAAAAAAAAAAAAAATTCATATTCTAACTATGTTTTAGTGGTAAGACACTAATGACACAAGTTCTGTGAACATCCACTGCGTCCATGAATCAATCTAAATACAAAATTATGTTATTAAGTGAAACAATCAATACTTGAAATTATTTTAACAAACATGATGCCTCCCTGCTCTTTTAGATCATGGGGCTGTTGTTGGGTGGGGGACGACGTGCAAATTTCCCATTTTTCCTTAAATCTAAGTTGGGGTCTTTAAAAAACACATACAAAAATTGCAGCTGTTTTTCTACATGCGATATGATGCGCAAATACAATAATTTTTTAATGAGAATGAAATACAAGTAAAGCAATATATATCAAGCAACACATTTATATTTATGTAGGTAAGAATGATAAAATTAAATTTATTCCCTTCTAATCACTTTAATCCGAGTCCCATGCATTTTCTAACTGATTTGATGACGATGAAAATATGCTTCTTTACTTATAATTTTGAGGAGACTAGGACTCTAACATTGAGAATGTGCTTTGAGAAAGATAATTGGTTAGAATAAGACTTCAAAATTAGCAATACTTTGACGGTTGTGGGTTATTCATACTTCTTAGAATTTACAGGAGCGTGAAATTTTTTTTATGCAAATGTAAATAAAAAGATACAACAATATGGTTCGAAACTCAGGATTAGTAAGTTTTCTTATTTAAAATCCCAAACCAATCAACCTAATTAAACCTTAATTAGGTAACAGAAATACAAATCCTCAAATTAACAAAATAACCTACGAATTAAGTACAACAATATTAGCCCAGCAATGGTAAACGAGCAAGCCAACAAACAGAATCAAAGAACCATGCTTGATTCAAGCTTCAATCGAACGAAGCAAAACAGAGCTACGTGAGGATTCTTCAGCTGCTACCACTAGCTTGACAATTAACAACCCAAAAGGAAGCGAGAAAACTAGGATTACGCACACAAGAACGGATTTCTTGATGAAACCCTTGTTGGGGGCAAACAAATAAATCAAGTGTAACTGATGTAAACAACTCAGAAAACAACATGAAAAAATAGCAGTAACAATAATTGGCACATAAGACTTTTAACGTGAAAAATCCAACGCAGGTGACAGAAAATAATAATAGGTATATGTTCACAATATTCTCTATGCAATAATAATCAAATAACACCGCTCTAGAGATCTCCAAATCACCATTGGATATGAAGTACTTAATGTCGCGAACACTCCCCTCAAATTTGAGCTCATTTTGACAAAGTTTCATGCATTGTGTAACATCTTTGTCTCGAGCCGGTTCAATTAATATACACATGATATTTAAACATGTATGTCTCGAGCCGGTTCAATTAATATACACATGATATTTAAACATGCATCAGCGAAAGTTTTACTTAATCTTTTAACTCGATTAGTGGAAGTACAAGCTAACTTTTTATTTTATTTTCTTTCCTTTTAATTCACATGATATATTGCAACACATACATATTTTTTTACTTGTTCATAACATACTTTTTTCCCTTCCTTTCATTCTCTAATACATCCGTGATCAATGACCATAGTCAAAGATCACACACCATCTGGATATGACCACAAGTGTCATTCCAGACGGAGTCTCAAATCAGACAGAGTTCCGTTTGTTTCTCGGATAAACAGGGACATAATCTCACTCTCATAATGTCTTGATAAGCACATGCATCATAATATATCATATATATATATATATATATATATATATATATATATATATATAATATATATCACATATGACTATAAAATCCATCCATAGGCGCATGCTATGTAGCACCGACACGACACGCGATACGTGATACGATACGACATTCTGACACATCAATCCTAAAAAAATATGCAATTCAACACGTTGGGACACGTTTTAATATTAAATAATATTTTTAATTTATATAGTGTATATTTCATTTAATATTCAACAATTGAACAAAAAATAAAGCAAAATTAATAATACCCATCAAAATATTATCTTTCAAATTTCCTTTCCAATCCAAAACCACAGAAGAAAAATTGATTCAAAGTCAGAATCCAAGGTGTTACATAAAGGGAGAAAAAAAAGAAGAAAAAAATCTGATGTAACCAATGGCAACAGCAGCAAAAAAATTCACTGACACCCAATACCAAAAATTGTAGCAGCGTTCTTAACAAAAGGCAAAAACATAAACTAAAAGAATATACTGTAAAATAAGAACATCAAGAACACAATCAAACATTATAAAAGGTGGAAGCTTTAATAAAACCATTCAGCCTTATTTTAAAAACACATTCAGCTTTAAGGCATGCATCCAATAAGGAGCATGAAGTCAGATTGCATGCATTACGATTGGGCAAAATTGCCACCCAATTCTACCCTTTTGAGAGGGTTATGTTAATAAGAAATTCTGGTCTTTAATTTAGTTTAAATCAGCCAACTCAACTTCACTCTTCCACCTTCAAGCGCTGTATGAGTAGAGGAACACTCAACCATTTCATCTCCCGTATATCTTTGGTGCTACTGTAGTATGTACTCCTTTACTAAAAGTAGAAAATGATGATGGTTTTGGAGAAAATAACCATACAAAGAATAGTAAAATAGTAAAGAAAATATATTATATTTTCTAAATTGAATAAATGATGTACTTGAGTCTTTAGTACTACAGTAGTACCGAAGATATTTCCCTCCCCCTGTACAACTACAACCTTAAGTGATTAGGGAACCCTCAGAAAGAAAAACAAGACTTTGCATCTCTTTCCCTCACTCAACAGTTTAGAGTACTCATAGCAAATTAGAGATATATAACAATAAAGATTAGAAGAACGACCCCAACCATGTCAACAACCCACTCTATAAGCCTAACATAAAATTAAGCATAATTGGAAACCAACCACACACAAATCAGGGTGAGAATAGAATCCCATTAGTACTCAAAACACGTCCAATCTCAAAGGAGACAAAGGCATCAATGCAGGCATATTCGACCTGCTCCTCAGTGAGAAATAGTTTGTCCCACTTACTCCTCGATATCCTTTTGGGCTTCTCAACCTCCTTTTCCAAAACGCGTAGAGCCAACGTCTTGAGCCCAGCCCTCTTCAATTCAGGGTCATCCAACATGTCCGCAGCAAGGGTTCCAAGTTCAACCAAGTTGTTCACGTGCAGCGAATAGTCTTCGAGAAGCTTCTCAGCGTCCTCCTCAATCCCAACGCCCACGAACGTGATATTGACGTTGCCGAGAAATGACACAAGCGAGTTGGGTATGTACGGCGCGTGGAGGATCTGGAAGATCAAGCAGCGGCGCCCCACGCAGAGTTGGAGTGTGGCCACGGGGTTCTTCATGTTGCGGTGGGTGTTGGGGCGCCACTCGACGTCCAAGCCTACTATGAGACGGTGGCGCAGGAGGTGGTTGCTGTGGAGACGGCGGATTTCTGAAAGCCAAGAGTCGACCATGGAGGGGACGGAGGTGAGGAGGGTGTGGATGGTGGCGGAGTGAAAGTTTACGTCGTAGAGGCTGTGGTCATCGTTGTCGGAGTTATAGTTTCGCATGCTGATGGGAACGTCGTTCTAGTCTACGAAGTTATGTGAATTCTAGATTGAGAAGAGTGGATATAGAGTGGTTTTTTTATTTTGGAATTGAAAGTGAAAACACCGAATATATATAAGATGCAAAAAATGTTTCTGCCCTCTGGAAAAAAAAAAAAATTATCTCACATGCCTCCGTATAAAAGTGAGTGAATTTTATTATAAAAATAAATAAATAGAATTCACTCACTTTTGTGTAAGTGTAGTAGATAAATTTTTCTGCAACAAAAATAAAAATATTAAATTCATATAAGTTACACTTTTAATCTTGATCGCTTATCTTATTTATATTTGACAGTTCTAATTTATTAGATATATGAGTGATTAAATGTGAATAAATCAATGATTCATATTTGATGAAAGAATTCTTATTCTTTTACCAGTACAAGAATATCACGTCCCATAATTTCTATATGTAAATTGATGTTATTTCTATTATTTGGGGGACTAAATTGATGTCAGATTTTTATAATTGAGGAGATTTTATGTTTTTTTTTTTCATTGAGGAATTTAAACGATGTTAGGTTATTTAGAGAACAAAATATATAGATCATTTTCTCCATTATTTAGGAACTAAATTCATGTCACGTATATTTCAAAGACTATTTTCCCTAACATTTTTTTGTTTGTCGTTTCTTCTTCTAATTTAAGGTTGAATACTCGAACGCCCCAAAATGTCTCTTCCTCTTCTGCACGTTAAACCACAAATATTTCCCTGTTAATTATATTCTGTGCGCTAACCTTTTAAGTACCTTATTTTTATTGGTAGACAAACTAAGCTTCCTTTGCGTTTGCATGGGTGAACTTAAAGCTAAATGTTTACTTCTTAATTAATTACGGATTTAATTCAACACCATTTCATGCATCTTGGAAATCATAATTGCCTTTATTTTCAATGCAAAGATAGTTAAAATATATATATATATATATATATATATATATATTTAAAAGGAATAATAGATATTGGAATTCATTTCTTTTAAATCCGAGAACATAAAGATGGCTGGCTTTAAAACTGCACTAAATCTAAAAGTAATATTTAATATACTAATTAAATCTAACATTGTTTTTATACAAGAAAAAATGTAACATTGAATCTACTTAAACACCTCACCGCGCTGGATCAAATCTAGTTGCTTAATTAAATCTAACATTGAATCTAATAAATGAAACGTCAATTATAAGTTAACATCGACTTAATGCTGACCGCTTCAGCCAAGGAATGATCCTCTCATCCTCACGGCACGTGAAAGATTTTTTATTTATTTTTTTGTCTCTTTCTTCTTGTGAGATATATAGTCCCACATTGATTGGATAGACAACTAATATGGCCTTGGGCACTCCCACCCCTTGATCTAGCTTTTGATGTGGTGTATCCCAAGGTTCTTTACATGGTATCAGAGCTTTACCGTCCCCCGCTTTAAAAAGTGGAATTAAAATAAAAAAAAGCACAAAAAGGTAAACCAAAAATCCTGTGCAATTTCCACGCTTCTAGCCTAAAGGGCTCTTGCGTGAGGGAGGGGGCGTGTGTTGAGATATTTAGTCCCACATTGATTGGATGGGCAACTAATATGGCCTTTATAAGACCTTGGGCACTCTCACCCCTTGAGCTAGCTTTTGAGGTGGTGTATCTCAAGGTTCTTTACATTCTTTTTTTATATTCAGGAAACAAGAAATTTTGATACGATAAAGTATCGTGAAATTTTAAGAGGTGAAAATGTTTTTCGCCCGAGCAATAGCAATTGTAACGTTAAGCCATAAAGTATCCCATTATATTTTGCACATGAAAAAATATTAGCTACCTCGAGTACGATGAATGGCGAGAGTCCAAACATTGCAGGAGGGGAAGAGACAGTTTAAGGCTTGAGATTTTCAAGAATTCGAAGAAGAAACGGCAAAAAGTAAAATATCAGGGAAACTAACAAGGTAAAGGATATATACGTATCTTTACACAGTAATATTAAATTTCTATCATATTAATTAAGGAAAATATTATTTTCTCTGATGTTCTTTCATTTCAATTTTTATATTTTTTTTTTCTTGTAATGGTGAGATCTATTTATTTTCTCTTTACAAATAAAATAACTATTTTATGTAAAATGAAATTAATAAAACCCATTAATTAATTATTAAAATACTTTTTAACTATAAAATTGCATATTTAACTATAAAATTGCATAAAAGAAATTATCAAAGCTGTCACTATCCTTCGAAAGTTTTCGAGGAACGTTATTAAAGTATCTTTTCTTAAAAATTTATTTTAAGAAATATAAAAATATGTCGATCAAAATGCCCTTTATAAGTAGATTTTGGCACAAGGTTTCTATCATTCTATGATTACCCAGTGACTAGGTGTTCTGCGGTTGCTAGCCATGGCTGAGTCTACAATTCCATCAAATGAACAAGTTGTCAAAGTTCCCCTGAAAGTTTTGGTGGACAAAGGCAAAAACAAAGTGGTGTTTGCTGAGGCAGGGAAGGATTTTGTTGACGCTCTCTTTAGCTTCTTAACATTGCCTTTAGGGACTATTGTTAGACTCATTCGTAAGGAGTCAAATATTCAACAAGTGAGAGTTGGCAGCCTCAGCTCACTGTATGAAAGTGTGGCAAATCTTGAAGAAAAGCATCTATGTACACCTACCTGCAAGGAAATGCTTTTGCAGCCAAGGAACTCAATGGAAGCTTATTGCCAACAGCTGAAACTGAACATCGATGACACGGAACCCATGAATTATTTCCTTTGCGAGGACTGGTCTTGTTATATAAATGAAAGGGGGAGCCTTTTGAGCACTTTCGGGAATCAAAGATGCCATTGTGGAAAAATAATGAACAAAGTAGTATCCCCAGAAAATTTGACTCTGGGAAATGGCTTTGTTAAGGAAACTGCTACTTTTATCGTTTGTGACGATCTTTATGTCGTCCCTAATGTTCTTGGAACCAGTGTAGGTCTGCTTCAGAAGCTTGGAATTGATGACATGGAAGCTCTCGAGGAACAAACTGTAGATATTAGCAATAATGAGGTGTATTTTCTCAGCTTGTATATCATCTTTGCAGTTGAAGGTATATTACTTAATTTTCTATTTCTCTCATTGATTAGTTCATCTTTGATTTGTGTAGATGGTGGATCTGCTCAAGTTTTCATTATTCTCAGAGACCCCTCTGACTGACTTTATCTTAAAGAAGAAACAACCCCTTGATAATTTTGACAGAGGAAACCAATCCCAGTTTGAGATTGGTGAGGTCTCATCTGATGATGAGGGTAGACAGATGGTTGTGAAATTACTGGTACAAAAATCAAACAGTAAGATTCTGTTTGCTGAAGCAGAGGAAAATTTTGTTGACTTTCTTTTCAGTTTTCTAACTTTTCCCTTGGGAGTAGTGTTGCATATGCTTAGAGGATTTTCTTCTTTGAGCTGCGTTGATAAATTATACAAGAGCATGACTGAATTGAGTTCAGACAGATATTTAAGCTCACAGGGACTCAAAGACAAACTAGTTAAACCTCAATGTGCCCCGCAATTTAAGCTCAGCAACCATATCTTACCAATTGACGATGCATGTTTGCCTAAATATTATTGTTATACTCACTCTAAAAAGGAATGGATCCATGGGACTCGAATTTCAACTTCACCCAAGCCTGTTCATTTTGGTGGTGAGAAGAATGCACCCTTGAATTATGTTGATCCTAAGTCCTCTACCGGAGGGTCATCAAGTTGTGCAGGATTTGCCAAAGGACCATCGATGTACATGGTGACAGATGACTTGGTTGTGTCTCCAATGTCATCCATTTCTGGGGTTTCATGTCTAAGATCAAAAGTCCCTCTCTTTGATTTGGAGGAAAGGGTCATTACTATTCGTCTGAATGAGGTAAGGCAATGTGTGAAACTTCTTTAAGCTTAGACATTCATCGCATAATACTATTATCTGTATCCAATTACATTATAATTATTGATTTTTTGATGCAGGGTCTCAGCATACTAAAAGCTTCATTGACTTCAACGTCTGCTTTGACAAATGGTCTTCATCAATTTCTGAAAATCATTAAGGAGGAGAATTGATGAGTTATTTCCATTTTGTCTAAAATTATAGAAATCGTGGCTGGAGAATATTTCATCATACATTTTGTGGCGTAAAACATTCTGAATGCGCACTAGTTGTTTTCACTTCTTTTATCAATAATTGCTCTATTTCGAATATTTTTGGGAAATATCTCTTTTTATAAATGCTCACGATTATGGTGGATACCATTAGGGGCTGTTTAATTTTTTTGGAATGATAGAAAAGTGAAAGGGGGATTTTTATATATCCATGTTTGGTAAGAGTTTTTACACAATTTACCCAGTCATCTAATTTACCAGGATTTCAAGTTATGTACAATTTCTGAGTGATTTTCCCTTTTCAAAATACCTCCAAAAGGGTGTTATTTTTGGTTTACCGAATGTAGGGATTTGGACACCAAATTTTTTTGGACAAATGTGCCCTTCTTCATATCGTTATCTTTGTTTCTTCTCTACAGAACAATCTGGTTGTCTTCATTTCTCTCTACAGAACCCATCTGTAGGAAAGTGGGAAGGGGGTGTCTCGTGTCTGAATTTTTTTTTCTTTTGTTTTTGTTATTCTCAAACAGATTACAGTGATGACCACTAAAAATTGAAGCTCAACCATCATGTGTTTCTCTGTGAAAACACGAAATTCATTATTATTTTTTCAAAAAAATAAAATAAAGTGAAAGTGGGGTTATTTTGGTAAAATAACCTCACATTCCCATTAATATTTCACAATCAACCAAATAAAGACTCAGTAAACTTAACCAAAAGATCTCAGTAATATTTTCGCATACCAAACAGCTTTTTTATAACATTCCCAGATAATTCACTTTCCTATCATATTCATGGTAATTATGATTCCCAGATATCAAAAAATTTCTACTCTACCAAACGCCCCCGGAGTCGAATAAAATATTTGTAAGCCATTCAGGAGAAAGGTTATAGCCGGGTGATAGGTTAAACATAGAGGGAACCGTCATTCTGGGGTAAAAAATATGAGGCTATATATGGGATATCGATGTTGAGAAATATGATAATGTTTCGTATACTATGTATGCTCTGTAGAAGTGTTCAAATACAAAATGCATACCAGGAGCGATATTTTTTCTTAATTTCATTGATATAATAAACGATAACCGTTTGGAAATTTCTTAATTTTATTTATATAATATAAAACTTATAATATTTGCTAACCATATATTGTGGGTATCAATAATCAAATATTATTAATAATTAGTAGTTATTTAGAAAAAAAAATTCCATGAAGGTATTTTTGTTTTTTGAGATAAAATTTTATAATCTGTAAATAAATTTATATCATCTTTCTTAACAATTTTAACCTTATATATCCTTATGGTTAAATTTTTTTTTTAACTTGTCCTCTTATCATTAATTTTCACTATCTTTTTATTTTTATTTTTGTTAGGGTACTGATAAATAAGTATTTGGTTGTGTCCTATTTATTTAAAATATAAATATCGACCTTGCTTTATTAATATTTTAATTAAGTGAGAAATGTGAAATTATATTGACAATTATTGGTAAGAGGTATGGATTGTTACCTACTTACCTTTTTAAAAAAAATAGTGTTGGAAAACCTTCATATATTACATAATTAAGGAAAGTAGTCAATATTTTGTCAAAATTCGGTTAGATTCGAGTAGGGAAGGAATATGTTTAATACCTTGACAAAAATTGGGGTTGGGCAGGTTTACCTACATTCATATATGGTTTTGATGTTTGTTAGGAGATAAAACTATCTTTCGCACATAAAAGTGTATGAGACTCATATGAGATCATGTGAAAAGAAAAGAAAAGAAAAAAGGAAACATGAACCTCACACACTTTTATATGTGTAGAAGATAATTACAAAAAACAATAAACCCTCCATAAATAGATCGAAAATATCAACTCATCAACTTATCTTATTTTATGCTGGATTGAGATTCAAGTTAGGGCTTGTATTTTGTTTTTTTTAAATAGTAGAATAGTTAATGAAATAAGTATTTTCTGTGTTTTTTAAGTTAAAAATCTAAATAGAAAATAGAAAAAAATGACATATATTATTTAAATTTTATTCTAAAAATTAAAAAAGTAAATATAATTTTTAAAACTATTTTGTAAAATAAGAAGCATCATCAAACAGAATTTTTTTTTTTAAATTAAAAAATTATTTTTGAAAACAAAATTAAAATAGACCTAAGATTTTTAATCAAACAATGTAATCTAAAGCTATTCAACACTCTACTGTTAAACATGAAATTTTATATATACAAAAATTAATAATAATGTAATCAACTGTTCAACCCGTCGTGTGACTGACCCATTTGATTGTTTTTATAAAAGCAGTCCCATTCACTAAATTTGAAGTATTAAACCGGTTAACCCGGGTCCAACTCGTTTCACCAATTTTAAATTCGATGAAATGAAAATAAAAAACTATTAGGGATATACCTCACCTCCCTCTACTACTAATCTTATGTATTAAATGAAAAGGAAAAGTAAATACTTCAACGATTCCAATTCCCTAATCCGTATACAATTTGTGTAACTCTCCATTTCAAAATATATATTAAGATTTAAATAGATTTATTAAATTATTTGCCATTAAATGTTTTACTTAATTACTATGTATTTAAAATTGTACATAAATTTTAAAATTTTGGTTCATAAAATTTGATATCATTTTAATAAATATAGTATTATATGTGTGGAATCTCTTCATTTCTTATGGCTCATTTGGTGGACATAATATGATAGGAAATAATAGAACAAGGAAAAGAGTAGAAAGTAATGAATATGATAAACTCATATCCTATGTGCATAGATAGGTAGCTTGATATGATAATATCATATACAGTGTTTCAGGAAAATTATATAATATCATGATATGATATAAATAGATAAAATACTCTTTTTAAACGTAATTTATATAATTTTTTTAAAACTTATTTTTAAATTATTATTTTTTTACTTATTTACACATTAGTTCTTATTTTAATTTATTAAAAAATTTAAAAATTATTTTTAAATAGAATATAATGAAATACATAAATAACCTAAAAAAATTATATCCTCATCAAATAAATTTTAAATAATTATATTTTAAATTGATTGTCAATATTGACAGTCGGTGGCTAGCGATAGTGGCTGATGCATTGCGTGGCCAATTGAAGTGGTGGCAGTTGTGGGGGCTGGTGACAATGAGTGGTGGTGATGACACTAGCCAATGGTGGTGGTTTGGGGGTGATGGCAATGGCAAATGTCGACAACGTTGATGGTGGTGGTGACTGATGGTGGTTGATGCGGTGGTGGTAGTTGCACCAATGACCAATGGAAATTGTGGGGTTGATCAATAGTGGTGGTCGTGGTGGTGATAATGGTGGTGCATGGATGGTTGATTGCAATGGAGGTGGCAGTAATGAGTGGTAGATGTCGTTGGTGGCCGGTGGCGGCGGCTAGTCAGTGGCAAAGGCTAACCGTCACATACCCAACAAAATTTATATGAGAAGAGCATAAGATTATATTTGGGATGAGAGGGATGTGATGTTTGCTTTTCTATCATATCCATTCCTTACCTGAGTTTGCTCTTAGGATAACTTATCATACTGTTGACAAGATAAAATAAGATCGCATGACAAACTTATTATTAGTTCACCAAACAATGGATAAAAGTATAATATCATTAATATGATAGTTTATTCTATTTGTCCTCTATATTTAAGCACTAAACGAGCCCATAATTAACTAAATAAACTCGATCCTCCTCTGCCTTGGGTTTCTCTATTGTATGCTTAAGAAAAATATCCTTGCATAATATATATATATATATATATATATATATATATATATATATATATATATATATATATATATATATATGGACTTTAAATTTTTGCAGCAGCTGTGGTAGAGCAAAAGTGTCCGCCACATACACAAAAAATGGGACCCGCTAATATAAAAAAAGAAAGGAGCACACTATGTACTACCAGTAGTAAATTATAACAACTCGTATTTCTAATTGTATAATTATATATGAAAATACAGATTAAGGGGTAGGATTAGTGAAAATCCTGAAATTGGAGTCAAAATACGTAAAACGGCAAAATGATAATTTACCAAACACGTAACCCTAGGCAAGAAAAATTGAGTAGAAGGTCTCAAATGGTAAAAATAATGCTGGAAATGGATTCATAACGAAAAATCGAGAGGATAGACAAGTTTTGAAAAAATTGATGAATAGTGATTTTACCGGTGTAGAATACTGCAGTATAATTGTATCGATAAGCGTGAAAATATGATCAGTATTTCTAGGATGTAAAAATATGACGTGAATGAGAAAAATACGTAGGTTATGAATTTGTGGGTTACATTGGGTGATTTAAGGAAGTTAAATGATGTGTTAGGCCCGCTTAAGTGACTTAAGTGGGTGAAAAGCCAAATGACACTCAAAAATATGATTTTCTCTCTCCTCTCTTCCTCTCCAACCCGTGGAGCTTCACCATTGAAGGGTTTTTTTGTTTTGAAACTTTTATCCAACCAAAACATCATCAAATCCTCTCCAAAAGCCAAAGTGTTGCACATCAAAGTTCAAGTAAATGGCATTCTAAACCCAACCATACCACTCTCCACTCTTGAAACTCATTATTTTGGGAGAAAATCATCACCCTCTTCCACGAAAATTTGGAGAAAAATAAGTGTTCTTGGAGTTGTTGCTCAAGCCATTGCTTGGGTATTGTGTGGAGGAGCCATTGGCCTTGATTCTTGGTGAGTAGCTCTACTTGTAGGTGTTTAATTTGGTAGATTTAAAATTGATGACCTAAAGCATGTGTATATGGATTGATGTAGTTAGAGAGCTCAAATTGAAAATGTATATTAGACAAAAGTGACTTAGAATGATGTGTTAGAGTGATTAAACTCATAAAAATTATTGGTGAAATTGTTGGATAACTTAGAAAATTTTGTGATTATACTTTGTGAAATTGGTATGTTGTGTAATTGCGTAAATTGAG